TTACATAAGAATTTATGAACCTTTTCATCTTAATAAACTTATTATTTTCTTCAATTGTCCTAGTACATGAGTACATTCAACATTTGATAATTTTGTGCTTGAAATTACATAATTTTGTCGATAAAAGTTTATTTATGTGCTATTTTATTTAATTTACTCTACGTCTAATTATTTTTGACTTGCATACATCATTTGGAATGAGATCCCATAAAATTTTAATTAATGTCTAAGCAGCCCAATTGGTTTTGAAATAAGCAATTATGCTATGTTTTTTGTTTTTGTATTTTGCTTTTTGATGTATTTGTTTTTTTTTCTAAATTGAAAAATAATGCTAGCAAGGGAGATTACTCATTGATATTCTTATGATGCCAAACATGTGCTTATGTTTGCTATTTGTTATAACCCTATTGTTATGATTCTTAAACAAGCAAACTATACTAGTAAGCATGTTGCTTTGCCACGTACCATTATTTTATTGGTTAGTTTGAATTTGATGTAGAACTGAACTTATTTAAAAAAAAATGTGTATTTTTATGTTTGTTTGCATAGTAAAATTGTATAACAAACATTTTGACAGTTGTTTTTTGTATATTGATAATCAAAACAACTCTATTTTGTCAGTATCTGAATAAAATTAATTTGATAAAAACTTTGTTTCTTTTGTTGAAGAATATACAAAGGGAGATAATTCAAAATAGTTTTTTTATTATTCTGACCTGATTAGAAGTGATAAAAAGAACTATGCCCAAGACAGGATGACAATAAGAAAATGTAGGAAATTGTGGTGTATGTATATGCTTTGACCAACAGTTTTTGTTATCTCCTGTATTATATATTGTCGCAATTGTCAAAATCAAAATTACACGTAGAGATAGCCTTGTCCTTTAGTAATATCTAGTGTATGTGGTTTTTGTATGTCCTAAATTCTAACCCTTCAAGTTCTTATATAAATTCATAGGCATTGCCATTCTTTACATATAGGTAAAGGCATACTTACAAAATGGTATTGAGCTTTGCAAATGAATGACTTGTATTCTTTGGATTATAGTTATAGTTTCATCTTTACATTCTTCAATGTTACTGACAAATTATACATTTGCACATTGCCATTGGAAACCACAAATATTATTCTTCTGTTATTAAACAGAGGAGCAATCCGTGCCTTTCAGGTCTTATACTTTGTAAATATAGATAAGAAAAGTGGGAGGATCCATGATTTGTTTCAATAGCTTCAAAGTTATAATCATTGAATTTTCCTTTTTTTTCTTTATTTTGGTTTTTAATTTAATTAGATATTTCCAAACAAGATATTTGAATTTGAGTTAAAGTACAAATAAATCCCCCACATCCCTCCTCCAATAAAAAAAAAAAAAAAAACAATCAGAGAGAAAAAATCTGCCTTTTCTTTCTTTTTTATTTCCATGATTGTTTTGTAGGTACATCCAAGGATTTGTATAGTATACTATACAAATCCTTGGTACATCAGATATACAGGATTTATATTGACTTTAAATTGTATTAAATTTGATGGAAGTTCTAATTATAAGTCGTAAACAAGAAATTTATTTGAATTTACATATAATTAAATATAACAAATATTTCAATAATAATCTTAAAATTTAATTCAAATTAAATTATATATTTATTCAAATTTAATTTAATTGCAATAATCGGGGGTGAATATTATCTTAATAAAATTATGCCAATGGGGGCCTCAATAAGTTGTGCCCTGTGGGAGAAATTTGCAAAGGCTTTGCATTGGATAATACAGCAAAAAAGCGGAAATGATAATATCCTCCATTATTTAGATGATTTTCTTTTTGTCGAGTCGATCCAAACATCAAAAGTTGTCAATACTTTGAAGATATTCCAAGAGAGTTCGACAAGTTTTTCATTTGGAAGCCGCATGATTAAATTCTGTGTATCAAATTCTATACCCCAAAAAATGAGTAATGTAGTAGGCAAAGTAGTCTTGTCACTAGCAAGAGGAATACCTATTTTGTCGCATACCTCTTAGAATATCTTCAATAATTGCCAACTTTTGATGTTTGGCCGTCCTTCTTTTGAGTGATTTATTTGTTCCGCACTCCCTGTCCTTCTTTCCTGCATGTCGTCCTCCTCTTCTTTCCAATGGCCCTTGATGGCGATACCCTGGCAATTCTTTTGTTTGGCATCTTTTCGTTTAAATAATTTAACTAATTTCAGCAGCACCTGCTTTGTTGTCGACAGCAAATTAACAAGTGCCCGATACGGGAATTCCAAAATTCAGAATCAACCTGAGAGCGCCATCGATGGCCATGCCAAATAAGTCAATTTGCTAAAGGCTGCAACACCCACACACCAACACAAATATTTGATTGAATTGAACAAGATTATTGAAAATATAAAATTTTGATTTTAAATTTAATTTATATTAAAAATTCTTTAAATTTGAAATTTATTCAGATTTAAAAATACCTTTAAAAGAGGGACAGTCAAACTCATCGATCGAAAACAAACTGACAATATCATGGCCAAAAATAAAAAGACAAACAGACAAATAATAGTACAGGTGACACAACATAGAAAACTAAAGACTAAGCAACACGAACCCCACCAAAAACTGGGGGTGATCTCAGGTGCTCCGGAAGGGTAAGCAGATCCTGCTCCACATGTGGCACCCGTCGTGTTGCTTATGTTATTACAAATCCGGTAAATAGTCTAATTCGGTAAGTCACATTCGTGAAAAGGGAAGGGTATTGTAGTTACGACATAAGGAACATATCCGATATCATCTGTGAAACGGTTATTCCATAACGGTCAACCAACTCGTGATGGCGTCCGTAAAATTAACGAAGGGACGACTTCAACTTCACCATTTTGAACTCTTGGTTTAATAGCTTCCTTGTGAGCAGCAATCCTCTATCAAGGAAATCATGATAGGAAACACAAGCCCGGGAATATCGTATCAATTGGGAGATATATACTCCGTATGCAGGCGCTGCTGGAATGTTGCTACATAGAAATGGAAAGTTCACAATTGGGAAGCTGAAATCATCTCTTTTGTCGTAAAGTTTTGTTTTCAACCGACCCTCATTGTCAATTTCTAGATGTAAGTCAAGATATGAGGCAGACTTAACTGTATCTGTAGTATCCTTTATCTCTAGTTCGATGGGATAGATTCGTTCAACATAGTCACCAAATTTTGTATTATTTAGTGAGAGAACATCATCTATATAGCGGAACGTAGAGTTAAAGGATATTGCTAACTTCTTATCACTCTTCCTAAGAAGCTCCTGTATGAAGTCAGCCTCATAATAATAAAGAAACAAGTCGACAAGAAGAGGGGCACAATTGGTTCCAATTGGAATTCCGACAGTCTGTTGAAAAACACGTCCTCCAAAGGTAACAAATATGTTATCAATCAAGAAATCAAGCATCTTGATAATGTCAGTTTCAGAGAATTTTTTGTTTGAATCAGAGTGATTCTTTACAAAGTAGGATTTATCCCTCCCCAAGACAAGATACTTGTATCTACGTTCGCCATTCTTTTTAATGAAACAGAGTAATACCAACTCTTTCAATTTGTCTTTTAGTTTGGAATGGGGAATACTTGTGTAAAGTGTAGAAAAGTCAAATATTTTAATACTATTGCAAGATGAGAGTCTTAGATTGTATGTACTCTAAAAGATAGGACTAGGTTGAAATCGGGAATGTATTTGCATTATTAAATTTAGTTTAAACTTATGTTAAATTAGATATTTTCCAGTGAAATAAATGCATATAATTTTTTTCAATTTGAAATTTATTATGCATAAAATATGCATTTAATTTCATATTTAATGCATCATTTCATGCAGTGAAACCAACGACTGAGCATCACGAACCCCACAAAAATGGGGGCGATCCCATGTGTTAAGGTGTATTTTCCGTTTTTAGAATTATAAACGGGATATTTTGAATAAATTTATTTGTTCAATATTTCTCCTTTTTTCCAATGTTTTGAAATAATACGAATACATATTAAAACTTACTTGTACATTTTAAGAAAAAAAAGGAAAAAGATTGCAATTGTAAATTACAATGCATGTGTGTGTCCTTAGATTAACATCAGGGTTGATTATTTGAAAAATGTTTGATGTTACGGATGCATATTTGATTAAAACATTTAGATAGACGGACGCACCAGTAACTAATAATATGATTATATAACCTTGTTGTTCATAAATGCTTTATTCATAGTTGCTTATACCTGTCCTTTACAAAGGCTTTATTTGAGTTGTATAGCGTTCAAGCACCATTGTAGGACACATTTCGTCTGTGTGCCTATGCTTTCTGCAATTTATGGTATTCATAAATGACTATAACGGAGAGAAAGTTTTGATATAATTATATAGATATAAGAAGATGTGGTATGAGTGCCAATGAGGCAACTCTCCATCCAAGTCAAAATTTATAAAAGTAAACCATATGTCTGATAAAAAAAGGTTGAAAAACATCTTTTGATTAATTTATTGGTGAACTACATACAGTTTTGACGCCCTCTGAAAAAATATGAAATCAGCAGTATTTCTTATCATATCTTTAACATATTGAATGATAATGAAAATAAAAGTAGTATGTGCTTTCTAAAAGATTTTTTAATTTAAATTCATCAGGAACTCTCAAAAACAATCATTTGAAGGTTTGGAATATACAAATACCTAAAATTCACTTACCTTCAGAAATATGTTTTTTACGATTTAAAGAAATACAAAATAAAACTATTATTAAGAAAAAAAAAAAAGAAACACATACAGAATTAATGGTCGGTGCCTTAATTAATTTTATCGTGAGCCATTTTTCTCCTTAAGTTTTCTTTAAAATATAATGACAGTTGCATAAATTTAATTTTTTTCATTTATTTTTTTACTGGTCAACATGGCTAGGCAGAAAAAGGGTGGCGCCAAAGCAAGGAAAATGGAGTAAAAAGTCCTTGTCGAAAACACCAGTACAGGAAAACAATTATAATGGGACTTCTCCACAAACTCCAATTGAATGGGGAAAATTGATGAGAAAACTATATTACTTTTACAACTCCCCTTTGGTGACATTTTTTTTCTCCGTTGTAAGTTTAATAAAAAGTAATTGCCTTTAGTGATATACTTACACAACAAATGTAGACGATCAGCATGATCATATTAACATAAAAAAAGGAAATATAAGTTAGAGGTATAGTTCAGTGGGAAAGTTTCCACAACAAGACAAAATCAAAATGCATATCGAAGTCCATAAGTCGAGATATGTATGTAAAATTGGGGAAAACAAAATTCTTATCGAAGATACCAGGCTTAAACTTTTAGTACGCCAGATTGGCGTTTTGTTTGAACAAGAATCATCCCCCAGTGGCGCTCTCATGTCAAATCAATTACGAGATTAAAAGTGCATAAAACACCGAGAAAATCAATCGTACTCATGTAAAAAGTTCTTGTGCTGAATTAACATCCGTTTTGATAAATTAAAACATATAGCAATGTACAATTTGATATAGATAAAGCTTAACATGTAATAAGCCGCTCCGCCCAAACCCCATTTTGTAAGTAGAAACAAAAGGTTAAACCCGTTAATTGTCACGTTAACTTCCACATTAATCTGAAAACGGCGTGATTTTTTATTTTGTTCAACTCTCTGTAGTAATTGTTCTTGAACTCTGTTTATCATAGTAGCCTGGATACACGATTTTTCAATCCTATGACCGATAAAGGTCATATTGCTTTTAATAGATTAAGCGATTATGTGAATGTATGTATGGTATTGTTGGGATACCTTTATTATAAAAGAAACAAAATACATATGTATTGTAAAAATATCATTCACCTGATTAAACTGTTTAATTCTTTATAAACTGTAGACAAAACAACTTTATTTTATACTTGGTCTGCATTTGACTTATGTAGTTATAGTTGTGATTGAGATTTCATGGGGACGAAACTATAATAAATCACATATGCTCTCAAAAAGCGGGTCAAAAATGATATGTAAACACCTACTTATAAATGCTACATGATTCTTCTAACGCAGAAAACTTGTATAAAAATTAATATGGTGTTATTTCATGAAGGTTTCATGAACTGTGACCTGAATGTTGAGGTCTATGTTATTTTGGTCTCTGATGGACAGTTGTCTCATTGGCAATCACACCATATCTTTTATAATGAAACTTACGTGCACTTGATGCAAGAATCGCACTCCTTTAATACATCAATAAAATTTAAACATCACGAAAATAAATCGCCGCGAAGTCAAATAGAAACGGCTAATCGCGAATTAAAGTATCCGCAAAAATAGATTTACAGTAATACGTTTTCATAAATCATCACTGATAGGTAGATCAACAATTAAATAATGCTTTTATATCATTCAAAATTATTCATGTCTTTTTTATAAATAGGTTTCATATATGGCAATGCTAGTGATATTCAGCATATTCGTATTGACAGATTTATATCCAATGTCTGAGAAATACCCGTCTGTTAAGGAGTGGATTGTTTATGTGTGGGCAGCATCGACATTGACAGAGGAAATAAGACAGGTGATATGAAGACGGCGTCCTAAGTAGCCAGTTACAAAATCAATGAAATGATAATTCAATATAAACAAATCTTATAATTTCACGCAAATTTGTATATCTGACTACTGAAAAGAAAAATGACTATAATATAAGGATGAATATGTTGAAGCATTCTGTTGGTGAAAGTATAAAATGAGTCTATTGGTTATTGAACATAAGAGCTTATCACCTCATTAATTAGACTGTTTTTTTTTTCTTTTTTTGTATCGTCAATTTCATGGCAATGATACACGAAGATTGATAATAGGCCGGCTTGGTATCTTCATCGTTGTAAGCAGAGATACTTTGGGTCTGGACAATAAATTTGTTGCCCTCCGCCTAAGATAGGTTTTGTAGTATGCTTTTAGAAAATAAAAAATATAAATGATGTCCGCGAACATGTTTTCTTGTTACAAGTAAAAATGTTTTTCGTGTATATAAATTCTTTTAGAATAAGAGTTATCTCCGCTTATCATGCCTATATGGCTAAGAAAAAAATTGACGCGATCAAAAGCAAATTTTGGGTAATTGTAAAAAAAAAAAACCAATAAATTACATTTTTCATTGTTTAAATTACATTTCTACACATTGCTGTAATGGGGGTCTCATAATTTGCAAAGTTAAGCTATAACAACACCAATTGTTTACTGATTTTTTACAATTCAGGCACTCACGATATCAAAAGATATTTTTCTAACATTTATTCAAACAATAATTTGGTGAGTAGTACTTTTCTGTTAATTAATAGAAATAACGACTTCCGGTTTCCCCAAAATCACTTTGATATCAAATGATACCTTTCTTAACACTGATTTCAAAACTACAAGGTTTTGATATATTTTTTACTGAAATAAGGGGGATATTTGGTATATTTATGGGCTCCTTATTCTTTGCTTTCTCTTGGACTTGCAATCTCGTGTAAGCTCTTCTCCTGGTCTATGCATTCTTTTGCAACCATCGTCCGTAAACTTACATATTTCCATCTTCTTCTCTGAAACTTGTTGAACCATTTATACTGGACAGTATTACTTATAATATGAAAAATACCAGATGTTGTTTCATTGTCAATATAGGGCACTGTTAGACCTTTAACAATATGCATAACCCGTTTGTTAGCTGTAAAAACAGGCATGAAAGTTTGAATCACTGGTGTTGACTTGCGTGCGACAGGGAATTTAGTTGTATCGTCCGCTCTTTGTATGTTTGTTTAGGGCAACCTGTTGATTATTTTGGTGGTGCTCTTAGGATTTGTTCTTGTTAGGAATATAAACTTAACCCCTGTTTTCTGAAAGTTCCGATTGGCCGACCATTTGGCCACCAGCTCGGCTGTTCATTCGTTCTTTTGTCCGTTTGTTTATTCGTTTTTTTTTTCTTACCAAAGCATGTAATTTGCCATTGCTGTATGGGGGAGGTACCCATTTTGTATCCTGTACGCCTAGACCTTTTTATAACAATTTATTGAAACCTTCTCAAAATCGTTTTTGCAAAAAGGCGGGATATCATTTTGTGAGCATTGCTCAGAGTACTTCTAGTGTTCACCACTTGCGAGGTCAGCTTATATATTTCATTTGTGTACACCATTCTTTTCTGCATCTTGATGTGGCAAAATATTCATCTATATCATGTCTTTGGCAAGATTTTTTTCTCTTTTTACAAGGTCAGGCTATCTATCTAAAACATCCTCCTAAATTTCGAGAATTTTCTAAGCAATGTTTGGTTAAACTCTTTTCTGGACAGTTTAATCTCTCTTTTTACTCGATTGGATTCTTGCTACATTTTGGCTTTTACTTCGATCTATTTATTTATGGCCTGTTTAAGGATAAGGGCCTTTTTTAGTAAAGGCTCTTTTTTCTTCTGTTTTGCAGTTTTCGCTTTGGTATGCTTCCACCTTGCCAGACTGGACATATTAAACTCGGCTTGTATTAGGGTAAGACAATAATCGTGCTGCTTGGTTCGACACCCTGTGTACATGGCCATGTTCTTTTTTCGATATTGTAAATACTCATGTGTAAGATACAATAACTTGTATAGAACTACGTTTTCCGAGCCGTAAGCAGAAATGGAGGTCGTTAGGATGCATCTCTACTTCAAGTAACTGGGCTATTTATTATGTATCGATGTATCTTGCTTGCGAAAGAAATTATTATGTTCTCAGTGTGGGCTTCCCCTGGTTCGTTCACAAATTCGCCAGGTCTTATACAACTGATACGTGTTGACTTGATGACCCTCTATGTTTTCAGTTTCTCCTCTCATACCTAGGAATCGTCTTCGTGTTTCGTATCTATGCTCTTGATCAACTAACCGCGTACTGATAGTTCGACGAAAGGTTTATTGATGCCAATTATGGTTCGTGATTGTGATGTCATGGACACACACACTAGGTTATGTAGTGCCAAGGTAACAACTTCAATCAATGCTTCCTCATACTTCATGGTGATAGTGCAAGTAAACAGATTGTCGTAACTTAACTGTAAGCTTAGAAGATGCATATTCTTGCACGGCACATCAAACAGGTTTTAAGAAATCTGTAGGGCACAACAGGCACTTTGAAATTACTGGGTCGACTCAGAAAATATATTCCAGAGATAAGTCTTATAAAGAAAAAACAACCAGGTGCTGCTTTTAATTTGAACACCGATACAAAATCGAAATCAATTGCAAAAGAAGAAAAAAATGTGTAAAATAAATGTCAGTTCAAACGCGATGTCTAATCCATGTCCAGTGCATGTCCATGTAAAGATAAAATTGTCGACATCGCAATATTAACAATATTAACACGATATCGTGTTAACGTTGTTAACATTGTAAGAACTCCTATACACTACTTACATCGTTGACATCGTTAACATCGTGATGTATGCAATGTATAATCAGTATCGTGTTTACATCATTTACATTGAAGTGTGCAAAATTTACACTGGATATGACTTTATAAAAACAAAACTATACAAAAAACAGTAATCGCAACGTTTTTTGTCAAATCAGATATAAATTTGACTAAGAAATAAAAAAACAAATAGACTTAAAAAATAGAGTTTGATATTAAATGTTAGTCTCTAAAACGCTACGAGTTGAAAAGAAATATAAAAGAGACCAAAACAGCAATAATCCTTACAAATGACAAAATTCAGTTGTCATATGATATATATAGTGTTGGTACACAATGTAAACACGATGTTTAAAAGATAGTGTTAACATCGCGATTTTGAAGAGGTAAACGATTTAAACACGAAGCTAAAGAATCAGTATACATTATGAACACGATTTCAACACGATATTGTCAACATTTCAATGAAAGATGTAAACACACATATATAGTCTTGGTAAACAATATACATAAGATGTCGAAACGAAATTCGTCAACATAGCATATTTACAATGTAAACGATGTAAACACGATGTAAACACATGTAAAGACTCGGTATACAAAATTAACACGAGTCGACATGATATCTTTAATTGCGATGCTGACGATGAAATCTATGTAAAAACAAAACTAAAGACCCAGTTTACATTATAAACACGGATATTGACACGATGAACAATTCAATCACAAAGTCTCGGTATAAAATATAATCACAATTTTGACACGATATTCTCAACTTCGCGATGTTGACGATGTGAACGATGTAAACATAAAGGTATTGAATCGGTACACAGTATAAACGATGCTTACACGATATTGTCAACATCGCGATGTCTTCGATTTGAATGATGTAAACATTAAGGTATAGACTTGATATACAATATAAACGATGTTTACACGCTAGTGTCAACATCGCGATATCTACTATGTGAACGATGTAAACACAATGGTATAGTCTTGATATACAATTTAAACATGATGTTCACTTTCTTTTGTCAACATTGCAAGTTCTACTGTGTAAACAATGTAAACACAAGGTAGAGATACAATACAATGTTAACTCAACAATAACACAATACAGTAGACATCGTAATATTGACAATATCGATAAAACATCTTGCACTGAACATATTTCTAATGTCTGATACAAATGAGGACGAACAATAACAATCAAGAATGACCTGATAAAATCAGTGATGAAAATGAAATTCAAACATGAATAAAGTTTCGACTGTGTTTATAGCGTTAAATACAATGTATTACCGTGATTGCATACTAGAATAAAACCCGATACTTTCACATAAAATAAAATAAATGGGATAGTTTTTCTAATTTGACGTCAAATAGCAATGGGTGTTGTTGGGACATTGTCGATGACGTTACGTCAACAAGAATTAAGAATGCGTAGAGTTCAACATATATTGTGCATCTCCTATAATTTACCAAACTTTTAATATTATACCTATATTTTCAGGCTGTTGTTATCAAGCAATTGTCGTTGAATACAATGACCTGGTTTACATTTTGGACACTTTGAAATTTTGATGTACTGTCTATTCATTACATCTGTATTTATGCGATTGACCTTGAAAGCCGAGGATTTCTATCATGCTCGAATGATGTATTCACTAACATTAGGAATATTTATTATCAACAGCATGCAATTTTTTTCTTGTTTCTAAACATATTGGAACAAAAGTCATCATGATTGGAAGAATTGTGAGTTAATATATAATTATGTCTCCGTCAGTGCACAATAATAACGGTAATCCCCGATGCATATTGACATTGATATACAATTCTGCAGCAAGTCTGCTTAAAACACATGTAACAAGAGTTATAGCATTTCTTCTAACACAATTGTGTGAACCAAACAGGGAATTTAAATGAAAGCGTATCAAAAAGGTTTGTTATTATAAAAATCGAAATGTGCTACATGTAATATATATCACTATAATTTAATAATATTAGCTCTGCACATTTTTCGTTCTTTAAATGAAACGGTTTGATGTGATAATAAAAAGAATGCTTAAAACAAATTCCTTTTACATTTTGTGAAAAGAAAATTTTATTTTATATATCGAAATGTAAAAAAAGTGATTCATGTGATTATTGACATCCCCACTGGAAGGCCTCTGACCAACTGTGTATGTGTTGTGTACAAGTTTTCATTTTGTACAAATTATAATTTGTACCAAAAAAAATGTACAAATTATAATATTTACGTTAACTTTTTACAAATTGTAATTCGTCCAAATAATGCTTGTACAAAATTTGACTAACATTCACTTATAATTCGTACAAAGGATATATAATAAATTAATATGATAGAAATGATGGCCTTTTATATATATTTTTAATAGTAATACATTTGAATTGCCTTGAGGAAAACATTTTTGCCTTCAACTCTTCTTGAACACTTTTCAACGATTAATTACTTTGGGAACAATTGTTTTAGGGTTATCCTAAGTGACACCACACTCCAAGTAACTTGATGCTTTTAGTATTGGAAAGTGAAATTTTAGAATGCATCCAATTCTTGGAGTGTGATAAAACACAGACAACGAGGGAGGGCAGGACGGGGGAAAACAAAATAGTAGTCGAGAGTTCTCATTCTAACGAACATGAAGTTCACTAAACCAACAAACAAATGCTATCTCAAAGAGAGAAAGATTCAACCTCCATCCTTAGATCGACTGCATCTCGAAATATGATTTAAATCAAAAGGTCTCGTGACTTCTCGTGAGATGTCGCTTAGGATATAGGGCTATCCTAAGTGACACCACACTCCAAGTAACTAGATGCTTTTAGTATTGGAGCGTGAAATTTCAGTTCGCATATTCTTACTCTCAAGATTGTTACCATTGAAGCAAACCCCTACCCGTCCATCATACCTTATCAACTATTAATCCCAAAACTCACAAAAACAAAAACCCCAAACTAACCAAGACTAATTCTTTTAATATATGTGAAAGACAAAACCATGAAATTTATAGTCGTTTTCTTCATATTGGTAATCATTATATGCCGTATTGTCTGATAATTGTCTCATTGCCAATTACTCCACATTTATTGTTATCAGTAAGTAAATAAATACAATATTAACAAATACAAATTTATTTATATATATACAAATATTCGGTAAACGTTAAATACAAATACACTGAAAACTATTTTCATACAAATAACACTTGAAAAAATGAGAAGTTAGAGAAATGATGAAGGCAATTTGGTTGTGTCACCCACTTCGTCAAATACTCTCTTAGCTGTTTGAGGTGAACGAGCAATTTCCTTAAATAGGGAACCTACAGAGTTCTCTGCAAAATTGTTTATCCTAGAGTATTTATCATAACTTTTTTGGCTAAATCAAGAATACTATTTTCTGCTACTTCTTCTGCGCGGGGAACTGCAAATGGAGGTAGGAGAACACATCCTCTGTAATCCACCCAAACTTCTTCGTTTTCTTCAAAATCAATACGGCTAGGGTCAAATAATGACTTCATGTCCCATTCAGATAATTCAAATTTCATTTTTTTTTGGATTATAACCCTAAAATGAAAAAAATACAGAGAAAAAATTCCCCGACCTCCATTCCGCGTGACTAAAAATAAGCCACTAAAGATTAGATTCCAATGGAATGAAAGACAGAAAACTTTGAAACTTTACGAAATTTTAACGGAAAAACTTTTAGGTAATCCAGAAAAAACTTAATGCAAACATTTTAACTACTCCTTCTTCAACTTCGGTCACGAGTTCACGTGATGACCATTCTCCTTACAGAAGAAACAAGCGCCCTTAGTTCTCCTTTGGAATCACGGGCGAAAAACCTAGGTTTCGAATCATACTTGAAAGGTGGAGCAGTGGGACCATGTACCGGGAAAACCATTACCATAACCTACAGGATTACCATAACCTACAGGGAACGGATTATAAGGGAACGCTGGACAAGGATATGGAAAAGCTGATGGATCCGACACACTTTGAATAGGCATTTAGTTACAACCCTTGCTATCAACCTTCTCTTCCGGTTTCTCATTTTTCCTAGCATTCTTTTGCCATTCAGCAATAGTAGCTGAAATCTTTTTATCTTCTGAAGACCCAAGCAACTTTAAACACAAATTAGAAATGCCATCATGATTTTCATATTGTCTACAAGCCTGCAAGGCCTTACTAAAGAAATCGTCCGCTGGGTGACTTGCTTTATTAGCATACTCAACCAAAAACTCTAATGCAGCTATAAGAACGCTTGGTGGCGTCAACTTTGGCCTCCCGGCCAAAGCTCTAACACTTTTTAATGCTTCTGTAACTTTATCCGAAATTTGCTGATTTTTCAAATTGTCAAAACTGTTTTCCATTTTCCGAAGTCTTCCCTCAAGATCATAACTAGTTTTAGTGGAGTTAGAAATACTAACCGGGGTATTTGGAATTTGTGGTCCCTGGACACCAGCCATTGGTGTAACAGGTCTAGTAGTAGTTGCAGCACCTGAAAGATTCATATCAAATTTTACATTCTACTAACTAAGATAACTAATAAGTATACCAATATTAAACACTAAAAGCTAATAATCTTACAATTATTACCCAATATATTGCATTTCGGCTAAGTGTACTCCATTGACATAAAGATTATTTTTGTGAGCATGAAATCTTCCCAATTTTCAATTCATTCAACTCTGATGAGAATTTAATGTTCAAAATATTGATTATCTGCCATGCTTTTAAAATAAATTTGCGTAAAAACTATCTTTCTACAAGTTCGAAATCGTTTAAAAAAAGTAAAACATACAATTTGGTTATGATAAATTAAGAAGTACACAAAAACGTACTAGACAGAAAAACTTCTGACTTTTTTTCGTCAAATCGATTTCAGGTTTTGTTACATGCACATCTACCCTATATGCCTTTAATTTTATAAGTTATTGACATTGATCCAATCATTTCAATACCACCCGTCACGTGACACTTGTCAAAGTATATTGATAGTACCTATTATCAAAATTGATAATAATTACCCCAAATAAAATAAAATAACATGTTCTTTATGGAGCCCACAAACGAGGGGCTGAATTCGTTTTATAAAAATTAAGAATAGGTGGTAATTATTCTTCTATCTAAATACCGCAAAACAAAAATAAAACTCATTCATGAACATCATTAGCTATCGAGCGCACCTTAAATTAAACAACAAACTTGCATAATTACCTTTACACTTTATAAATGTTTCACAGAAAGTTCACCTGTTCAATCAATGCAATAAAATCAATACTGACCTATCTAGGGCAATCAACTGACGAAACATGTTTATTCATTGTGACTGAAATATGCTAAATAGGTAAACTTCTCAAATCGTACACATCATATAGCATATCAAGTGTTATATCTTCAAATCACATAATTAAATCATAATTCAAACTGACTAAATAGGGAATAAATAAAGAGCAAAACCTTAAACGAACGGACGAAGTAAAAGGCGGAAAACCGGCGAAACAGGTACCTCATCTCAGTAAAAAATTCTGGAAAATTATAAAGGATTTCAACCAAATAAAATCAACCAGCCGATTACATATAACCAAAAATCACCCCGTGTTTCGAAGAAAATGACATCGTCAAAAACAATCAATGAAAGTTAGACGATAATCCTTAAATTAAACACGACAAACTAAGTTCGCTCTCTTAAGTAAAGATACCACCATCATAAAATTAATCTATAGGACCAGCATTTTATAACCAAAAGACAACACATGTCTGTTCTCAAATAAAAAAGGATCACCATCCTAAATAACAAGACAACAAATGTGCGTTCAAATAAATAGGACCAACGTCCTTAAAAAAATCCGACGGACGACACCATCCGTTCCCACAAAAGAATAAAACAAATAAACATGCAGACCATCTGCTAAATAGGACCACCGTCCTTTAAAAAATTCCGACGGACGACACCATCCGTTCCCATAACAGAATAAAATAAAATAAATAAACAATGCAGACCATCTGCTAGGACCACTGTCCTTTTAAAAAATTCCGACGGACGACACCATCCGTTCCCATTACAGAAATGAATAAATAAAAATTCAGACGACACCATCTGCCTAAAATTATATTAACCATACAAAAAAAATAAAATATACTTACATTGAACCGATAAATGAACTCGGATATCTTTCGTATATAAAATAAAGCACGTTTTGCACGAGCCCGGAAAAATAGCTTTAAAGGGAGAACAGAGGCACGTCTGTCCTCGATGACTGCAGCTCGAAATATGATTTAAATATGAAGGTCTCGTGACTTCTCGTGAGATGTCGCTTAGGATATATAAGTTGCCAAAGCTATATATCATAGGTGTTTATGAACACTCTTTTTGTCATTTACTCAGTTGATGTAATATTGTAAACATGTCCAGCATTGTTGATCAGCAGGATAAATTTGTCCTAGTTGAGGATATTACATGAAAGAACAATCAAGAACAAGCATATTGGGATTAAAGTTAAAGTGGAGTATGACACTGACATTGAAACACAGAGCATACGTGC